TTACTAGAAAAAGCAAAATATCCCTTGAACTGTTTCATTAGTTCGTTCCAGTTTAGGTCTTCTGCAGAGCCAATGAGTAGTACCCCAGATTCAAGGAGGAAGGCTCCTGATCTGTCATTTAAACTTGTAGTTCACATTATTAGATTTAACTACTAGTGCCTGTATGGAAAAAAGCCAGTGCTCTCCAAAGGTTGGATAAACTAGATGGCTACGTCTACATTGGCATGATCTTGCGCAGGAACTCGTTTGCGGAAGAGTTCTTGTGCAAAAACTCTTCTAGAAGAGAGCGTCTACACCGGCATGTGCCTTTGTGCAAGAGCAGCCCTGCCAGTGCAGACGCTCTCTTGTGCAAGAACTCTCCCATGGCCATTTTAACCACCGGGCTTTCTCGCGCAAGAAATTCAATTCATGTTGCCTGTCTACACTGGCATCTTGCGCAAGGACAGTTGCGCGAAAGGGCTTATTCCTGAGCAGGAGCGTCAGAGTTCTGGCACAAGAAGCCCTGATTTCATACATTAGAACGTCAGTGTACTTGCGCAAGAACACACAGCAGGTGTAGACAGGCAGCAAATTTTTGTGCAAGAGCGGCCGCTTTGGCGCAAGATCGTGCCAGTGATATTTGCCTGATGAACTGAGCATTTGTTCATTTGTCATATTTAACATTTTATGTAGCACCTTTTCATCTAGCTGACTCCCAAAATGTTCTACATATTTAACAAGTGGTACACAAACTCTGCGCCAGGATCCCTTCATTCCACCTCATGGGTGGAATGGATTTAATAGTGTACAAAAGTCTGCATTACAGTTTAAAATAGGAATGTATTTATTAAAAAGTCCAAAGGAAGGTGGAATTGAAGTAGGAATTTGGGTAAATAGACCACAGTTAACACATTGTGCTAAAACCAAAATCACTTTATTGTTAAACTTCCAGGCTGTGTCTAGACTGGCCAGTTTTTCCAGAAAATCAGCAGCTTTTCCAGAAAAACTTGCCAGCTGTCTACACTGGCTGCTTGAATTTCCACAAAAGCACTGACTTCCTACTGTAAGAAATCAGTGCTTTTTGCGGAAATACTATGCTGCTCCTATTTGGGCAAAAGTCCCTTTTGCGCAAAACTTTTGCGCAAAAGGGCCAGTGTAGACAGCTGAGATTTGTTTTCCACAAAAAAGCCCCGATTGCAAAAATGGCGATCGGGGCTTTTTTGCGGAAAAGTGTGTCTAGATTGGCCACGGACGCTTTTCCGCAAAAAGTGCTTTCGCAGAAAAGCGTCTGTGCCAATCTAGACACTCTGTTCCGAAAATGTTTTTAACGGAAAACTTTTCCGTTAAAAGCATTTGCGGAAAATCATGCCAGTCTAGACGTAGCCCCATAGTTATCACATAAACATTATCTGAAGAATAATTACCACATGAAATTACTGGCCTGAGGTTTCCCAGGGTGTTCTCTGCCCTCTTGGTTAGTGTTTAAAGTACTCGCTTTTATTTTTGAAGTTACATGTTGTAAAGGCAGGAAAATGGAACCTGCAGAAGAAATCTATATTGAGCTGTAGCATGTTTGCTAATTTTTTCTTTCCTTCAGAATGGCTGGCACTGTGCTTGGGGTGGGGCCAGGAGTATTTATCTTAGCGCTGCTCTGGGTCTTGACATTGCTGCTCTGTGTGCTGTTATCCAGGACATCTGGGTCTGCAAGGTAAGGAGATAATAGCCTTCTGGATAAAGTTATGAAGTGAAATGGTAGACTGTCCTCATATTTAAAGGCACTTTGTTTCTTTCATTCTCAGCCTAAATAGGCTCCATTTTACTCTAATAGCAGACTCTCATTAACTTCAGTAGAGTTAGATTGAGTCCATAAACACTAACCAGCTCATTTACAATCTGTCCTTTCTCTGTAGAGTACCTGTACATACCAAGAAGGGTGGGAAGGATTATTGGCAGCTTGGGGGGTGTGAATTGTCATATTTCATTCCTAAAGGTAGTTTTCCGGGACTCAGTCTTTCCCATTTGTCTTTTTGTTGCAGCAGTCAAGATTAAATCACTTTGTGAGCCTGTCATTTTAAAAGCCCACGTGTGGTTGTAGAACAGCATGCTGATTGACTAAAAGACTCATCTGTCTTTTAAGTCTTTGCTCACTGAGCCAAGATTGCCCCTCTAAAAACTGAGTAAATAATTAAACTTGTTGATTCAAGCAAATGTAACTATTGCCCAGTGTTCTTCTGGGTAAGCAGTACAGAGACTACCCCCAGTACCAGGCCCTAGCAAAACATCCCATCCAATCCAAACCTGACATAGCAAGGCTGAGATTTTCAGTACTACCAACGGGCTAGAGGAGATAAATTGGGTGACCAGTTTCTCTATGTGGTTTTGAAAATCTCTTTGCTATGTGTGACTAATATCAGAGGGATAGCTGGGTTAGTCTGTATCTGGAAAAACAACAAGGCAGGCCCAAGGCACCTTAAAGACTGACGGATTTATTTGAGCATCAGCTTTCATCATCAAGATGCATCAAGTCAGATGCATTTGACAAAGTGGGTTTTTGCCCACAAATGTTTATGACAATTAAATCTGTTAGACTTTAAGGTGCCACAGGACTCCTTGATGTGTTTGTGTGTGCCTGTGATTCAGGAGGAATGACTGCCTTTCATTTCAGATGTTGGCACTTTTCTTTTGCCTTTTCCATTAAGTAAAGTAGAATTCCTTTGAATGTGTGATGGCTCTTTTTTATTGAGTCCTGTGACTGCACTAACTACATGAGCTGGAGTTAGGTTGAGAAGCGGGCGATGGGGGTGCTGGTTTGCTTGTGATATGGTCAGAGTGTGAGTAGTGTTAATGTCTTTTTTATAAAAGGAGCTGTGTGGCTGGGAGACCTAACAGTGGGATTGTTCGATTCTTTCCCCAGATTCTCTGTCATTCTAGTTTTCTTCTCTTCTGTGATCATTACATTGGTTCTGTTACTTTTCCCTCGTGCCAGTGAGTTCCCAGCACCAGCTACAGAAATGAAGGTAAATTCTTTTCCCCTTTCAGTCTCTCCAACCTGGCTGTTGTACCTTGTTCCATCTACGCCATTGGCTTTCAAATGGGGTGGGGTGAAATGAGGTTGTTGGAGACTGGGGGACTGTGGCTGACCATGTGTCCAGGACAGAGCAGGATAACAGTGGGGAGAGTATGCAGGGAGTCCCTAGCATTCAGGTACAGGGGATGGGAAGCTCAGCCCAGTGTCAACAGCTGCTTGCTGCTTTGCCTCTTAGGGTTAGGGTGACAGCCAGCTGCCACCTCTGCTGCCCTGCCCTGAATGCTCGGGCTGGGCCCACCACACTGTACCGCAGGCAGGCTGGGTGCTGCTCTGGCCAGGCCGGGTACCGGATGACGTGATGATGTCATTGTGTTGCCCGGCGGGGAAAGTGTAATTCTGTATTTGGGGAGATAATCATTTGGCAAGTATCCTGGGTTGAGCCCCCTGCCTGACCCTCTCCTACCCTTCTCAGTCTCTTACTTATCCCTAACTCTACTTGCCTACTGGCTCAGAGCCCAATTGTTCTTCTTTCTCCTTCCTGTGACTTAGTCTCAGTTGGCCATAATTCCGTTGTTGGATTCTTTGGAGTCCTGCTCAAACTGGTAAACACAAAACAGCCTGAATTCCTGCTCCATATCTCCCAGCCCATATGTAAATGGGTTTTAGATACCCATATTACTCTGTCCCACAGTCATTAGCATGTTCACTCATCTAAATACTGAGTTGTGTAGCGTGACACCAGACATTCTTGTGTTTTTTTTTTCTGTGTCCTGCATGTAAATTGCTTTGCTCCACATAAATCTTGTAGCTGAGATCAAGGGCCGTGATGGAAGTAGGACATCTTGCACATGTCAGACAGGCCAGCAGAATCAGAATACTCATTTACAGGATCTCCAAGCCTGGCCTCTGAAGAAGCCCAGCTAGATATGGTATCAATAATACATGACCTGGGCTTTTTACACTCAAAGCCTGCTAATTGGCTAATTAAAAAGTGAAAGTGTTGAACGAGCAAACATGTCACCCTCAAGAGACTTGTTCTGTAGCAGAGCCAAGGTCAAGCTTGTGTTAACACTGTGTCATAATGCTCACCTTTGTTATACGCAATCCCAGAAGCCCAGAGGATGATTTCATAATCCTGGTTTCTGGTTGGTGATTCTCACTAACACTTTGTCTAGCTTGTGTCTATGTCTTCACTCACTAGTCAGACTTTCTTTTCCTGCTGTGTGTCCTCTGTAAGCACAGTGATGCCCATTGATATCAGTGCCCATAAATATAAAGAGCAGTGACTGGTTTTCTGGGAGAAGCAACTGTGTGACATGGAGGACATGAATAGCTGCTTGACTTGAAGGATATAATTGCTGGACAAGATTTCAGCTCTTGTGTCAGTCTGTGGCCACATGGAATTCCAGTGAGCTGAGCATGGTTGATTCAGGCCTGTTTTGAACTGCATCGGGCAGATTGAGCACTCCCGGTTCACCTAAGATTCCCTCTGAATTCTGTCAGAATTTGTGTGCAAGGAATGCAGAACTGGGCTCCAGTCAGTGATTAAATGCTTTTTTAATCTCACTCACCTAAACAAAATACAGGACTATGTAGCACTTTAAAGACTAACAAGATGGTTTATTAGATGATGAGCTTTCGTGGGCCAGACTAACACGGCTCCATTTCTATCACCTAAACAGTGCACATCTTGCTGCTTCATGACTCAGCTTAACTCTCCCCTGGGATCTAAGATGAGACAGAAAGGGGATAAGAGTCTATTCCATAAACCCACTTGCAAGGATTAGCATTAGAATCACTGCCCAGGAATCAGAACCAACAGAGAAATTCAGTGAGAGTCCCACCATGAACACAACTCGTGAACCTGTTATACTTAAGAGGATAGCAGCTCTGTTGGTCAAACTGTGATTTTGTATTCAGCAGAACAGCATTTTCATTTCATGCTGCCTGAGGCTGCTTTAGAGTTGGCGCGCACAGCTCCAGAGGGACAAGACATTCTCTTTGTTACTCAGCAGTGACCCCCTGCCCGTGGGTTATGCCAAGCAGCCTGTGTTAATCGGAGAAATCCTGTTGAGAGGTGGCACATTTGGGCAGGGATGTAGCCCCCTTGCTGCATGCCTGCATGGAGCTGCCATCCTTACCTTGGCTGGTTTTCCTTTTCTAAAGGTCAAAAGTTCTGTTCAGACCTATTTTCTGTTGCCTTGCCACAGAGGACACTTCCTCTTTTACAGCAAACTGTGGACAAATCGCCATGGTACCTGCAGCGGGGCTTTTGTTAGCTGTGATACAGAAGGAAATGCTGTCATGTAACTGTTGGCCTTTCTGTTCTCCTCAGATTGTGGACACCTTCTTCATTGGCCGCTTTGTCCTGGTCTCGCTTCTCAGTGTGACGTTTCTAGGAAGCCTGTTCCTGGTTCTGGTTCACCACATCCTTGAGCCAGTGTATGCTAAGCCACTCCGAGTTAACTAGCTGTTATGCAGAAGGGAATTCTCCATGCTCCACGGCAGGCAGTATGTCACCAACTGGGTAAAGAAAATGTGCTCCCCAGATCTCTCCAGAAGCCTTTCTTTAAGTGGAGTTCTGAGTCTACACTCATTTCCAGAGTCAGCGTCAGCTTTCTGAGTCCTTGGCTTCTCCACGATGAAATCATAGAAGAGGCTGCTGCTGTAGCCTGTAGAAGCTGAGAGCCGTTTCCTGGCAGACAGAGTCCTGCTTACAGACTGTAGCATATGTCTCCAGTATTTGTTTCCAGCGGTATATCCCTGACCTCTGTTCTATGGGAATTCAGCTGGTCTTGCTTCTCTAGTCTTCATCTACAGTTGTAGTCCTGGCTGACCTTTCTGAAAGGTCTGATCCGTACCTGTACTGCTAGGATCTAAAAGTCAGGCTGAAAATGTTTCCAACAGAGGAGGTGCAGAATGTCGTGGTGGAGGCTTTTCCTGGTGCTGGTGCATCTGCGTTAGGCTAAATGTGGAACTGAACTTGGAGGCATTCGCCCAATTTAGTTTGAACTGTGGGTGTCTGAAGTGTGATTTGGTTTGCGCTGGGACATCTGTCCCTGCTGGTTTTGGCACTGCAACACCTGAGAGATGCTTTGAGGGGCAGAGGCAAGTGGAGGGCGTAAACTCATGGGAAGGTGAGATCCTATTTTTATGGCAATAAAGAAAGCACAAGAAGAACTAAAATATGTTTCTGAGTTTCCTTGGCTTAGGCTGTGGTGGCTCAGATGCATTGCTTATGCTCAGCTCTGAATCCAGGAGCTCTTTCAGAGCAGCCTCACACCAGCAGACGTGTCTGTGTTGCCATTCTTGAGCTCCTCCTCGACCAGGCTTTTCTTTGTGCCTTTGCCTTTCCTGGGAGAGGGTGGGGCAGAGGATTGTGATCCAGGGAGCCAATGTGCATGTGGCTGGCCATTCCCACCAGCCTTTCCGGGAGGGAAACCTGATGGTGAAGGTGGACCCAGTGAAGGGATTTGAAGGGGGGCTGGAGATGGCATCCAGGGACAGAACCGGGGAGCAGATAGCAGAACCTTTCTCGCATGCTCTTCTGTGGGCTGAGGCAATCTGGTCCTGAGCCCAGTGCAAGAGCAGAGTTGTGAAAAGCAGCTTGCATGAAAACACCGTTTGAAAGGTTGTGGGAGAAATCTGTAGGGTGGGGTGGGCAGTTTTTTTGCGTGGGGCCACTTTAAGAACTTGGGAAGTGGTCAAGGGCTGCACTCTTCTATGATATTAGTGGAGCAGGTGCAGAGACCAAGATGGAGGTTAGTTTGAGAAGACAGCTTGGGCTGCAGGAGGGGTATGGGACCTAGGGGGGAGTTTGGTTGAAGGATGGAGTTGTGACGGGTGGGGTTCGGGTGTAGGAGAGGATTCTGATCTGGAGGCGAGCAGGAAGAAATGCAGGGTCTCGGAGGAGGGTTGTAACCTGGGGCAGAAGTGCAGGGGGGGAGGTGCAGGGATCTGGGTTGTGACCAGAGGTAAGGGATTGAGGTGCAAGGTCTGAGAGGAGGTTGTGACCTTGGCCAGGGGTGCAGAGTCTGGGAAAGTGATTGGGGTACAGTAGGGGGCAGAGTGTTTGGGTTATGTGGGATGGGATACAGGGAGGATTGCCAGATGGTCTCCCAAAAAACACCAAACACGTGGGCCAAAAAGAACACGCATGTCGGACATACACCTTCAGCATGCAACCACAGGAAGTGCCACCAGGCTTCCGTCCAGTACCCAGCTGGAAAAACAGAAAATACCAGAAATTACACGTGTCCGGTATTTTCTGAATTTTTTTACCGGACAGAGGGTGCAAAAACCGCAAGTGATCCACCCCCCTCTTGCCCATTCCCAGCATCTGGCAAACACAGAACAGGGACTCTTCACTGCTCAACTTTGCAGGATATTGGGGTGTCTGTCAAAGCACCCTGAGATAAACTATGGGGTTATGGGGGGCTCAGGGGGAGGTTGTGAGGAGGCATGTGGGGGGGTTGTCGGGGGCTCTAAGGGGCTGATATGGGGCCTCCGAGGGGGGAGCTGTGGGGAAGGGGCTCGCAGGAGCTGCCTGCCCAGGGCAAGGACCCGGCCCCCGCACATGCCTCGTGTCTCTGACCTCACATGGTGCTCTGGGCGTGGCTGCCGGGTCTGTGTGCAGGGCGGGTCCCAAGCCCGGCCAAGCCAGAGCGCTCCCGCTGCAGGGACCCGAGCAGCGGGTCCATGTCTCGTGCCAGAGGCAGGGCCTAGTGACGTTGCGGGAGCGGGGCAGTCACTGGCTGCAGCCGGGGTCCAACGGGCCGAGCCCCCAGCAGACACGCTCTCTAGCTGCTAGCAGAAGCTGGGTGGGGCGAGGGGAGTGGCTGGGAGCCTCTGGTCGCGTGCAGAAGCTGGGCGGGGGAAGTGGCTGGGACTCCCAGCCACTCGCCCCACTCCTGCCCGGATTTTGCACACGACCACAGGCTCCCAGCGCCAGTCGCTCCCTCGCCCCCACCAGGCTTCCGTCCGGCACCCAGCCGGAAATTCAGAAAATATTGCACATAGCACGTCTGGTATTTTCTGAGTTTGTTTACCAGGCAGAGGGCGCAAATATCGGATTGTCCAGTAGAAAACCAGATACCAGGCAACCCTAGGAACAGGAGGGGGCAGAGCCTGGGATGCCAGAGGCAGGTTCTGGCTCAGAGGCGCTTTCCTGGGCGGCTCTCAGCCAGCAGCCCAGTGGATTCCTCAGCCAGAGTCCTTGCCTTCCATGCCTCTGCCTCGACTGCAGGGCCATGTGGGGCTTTGAGCGCTGCAGGCCTGGATGGGGAGGAAACCACCAGTGGGAGCTGTGGGACTGTGCTGGGGGCAGGTGCAGCACACGCAGCCTCTCCCGTCCTGCCGCCAGTCTTGAGAGCTGCCCTAAACAGTGTGCAGGGGTGGGGCGAGCAGGGAGCCGGATGAGGCTCCCATGGGCTGGATCCTGCAGCTTGGCAGGGCCCCTC